GCAGTAGCAGGCCTGACAATTACTGGGGAGCGCTGGGGTAGGTGGCAGCTGGGGAGCTTCAGCCTTGGCATCAGTCAAATCTTGAGGGTGCTGGACCAGGGTGGCCCAATCTGATGTAAAATTAATGTATTTCCATTATCTTGAGCTTGCTACTGAAGATTGGCATGGCAGAGCCAAGTCAAAGCCAGGCAGAGTTGGGAGAAAGTTAAGACCTAAGCAAGTTAAAGTAGTCCCCCACCTCCTGTTTGTCATATTAAGATTCTGACACACTACTAAGCATGTATGTATAGTTCCTGAAGACTCTGCTAACAGTTCTAACTGCTGTGGTTCAGGGCTCTAAAATGTGTTCACATCGTGCAGTGAGAACAGTGTAAAGCAGGCCTGAGCAAAATATGGCCCACGGGCAGCATCTGGCCTGCCAAGCCACTGGATCTGGCCCGTGGAGGCAGTGGGGAACCCCGGGCAGGCTCCCCAGCTTACCCTGAAGCCCCACTTGCAATGCAGAAATGTGGCTGCAGGGTTCCATTTCTATTTTACAACTGGAGAGAAGGGGGGAAGTTTTAGGAGTATCCCCGCCCCCAGCACACTCCCATTGGCCAGTTTCTGGCAGAAACTGGCCAATGGGAGCTGCTTGTTGGAATAACAGGCAACTAAGAATAACCATGCCCCCTCTCCTCTGCACAGTTATTCATGAAGCACATGGCCAGGCAAGCAGGTAGAAAACATTTTCAGCTCTGCAGGCACACAGGCTAGTTTGGCAGCTGGCAAGTGAGTCACTTGGCCACAGCCTACTTCTGGCACCCCAACTCTTTGCCCCCCCCCACTCGACATACCCAGATCCTCTGTCTCCCTCTTACACTCATACCCCTTCCCAGATCTGGCACCCCAATCTCCCCTCCAGATCACAGTCCCCCCCTAACCTAGGTCACATCCCAAAAACCTACACTCCGGTCCCGTGCCTTACGTCACAACTGCCTGTCTCATCCCAACTTCCTCCTAGACTCTAGTCTCTGTCTTGTACCCAAGTCCCTTACCCCAAGCTTCCTTCTGCACCCAATCTCCATCCCAGACCCCGCATCTCCTCCATTAATATCATGGAAGAGTGTGGCCCTTGACCACTTTCCAAACTCTTAATGTGGCCCCCCTTGAAAAATTATTGCCCACCCCTGGTTTAAAGAACTGAAAAATTATTGCCCCCTGGTTTAAAGAAATCCTGTAAGTATCATAATACAGCTCACTTCCCAAACCGTATGTGATTTGCTAGGTGCATGAGAATTCCCTATTCACTTGATTTTTCACTCCTCACTATTATGACATCCAGCTAGAATAAGCAGCTGATTTTAGCTGTTTACTTGCTAGGAACTGTGTGCAGAAAAGAGGATGGGGGAGAGAATTGTGCTTTTGAAGATGCTTTATTCCATTGTGCAGTTTAAGATGGTGTCGTCTAGGAAACAGTGCCCTGGAGAAAGATGCAGGCTGTCTCTTCTTCCACCCCCATTCCTCCCTCCCTCTGAGTGACATTGGATGCACTCTTTGCTTTCCTTCAACTTTTGCCATAGGTATTTATAAGGTTGCATGCAAATATGTGGCTCTGTACAAATATAGAAGGAAGAGCTCTTAGAACTGGTGATACTATGTGATCCTCTGGGTCTTTCCCTGCTGATCTGGTTGTAAATGGGCGACCCAGGGTCTCTGAACTTATTATTTTAAATGAAGGACTTTGTTGATGCTTCGCATACTGTAGTGGTTCAACCCAGACCATAAGAGTTGTGTGACTATCTGCCATGCCACTCTGGATGCCTTAAATGCTATGGTGCTGTAGCACCCCTCTAATGCCAACAGCCAGCTTTCAAGCGTGGGCATCACACTCAGGTTTACACCACAGAATTAGTTTTATGCTGGGTTACTGTGGTGTGATTCGATTTATTTTAGTTCCAGGGGTTACCAGTACATGCCAGGGCTATTTAAAGCTTGCAATAAATAAGACAGTGGTTAAGCAGTTAATACAGTTTAAGTTTTACAAGCCTTAAGAACAATTACTATACAATTTAAACCTTAAATACTATAAATTCTAAAGCAATTAATGCAGCGCAAAGCAATGCAAAAGCAATTACTAAAAGATCTACTATATACAATAATAAAGCCTAATTCACTTACACTTCACCTGTATGCTACCTACAGTGACAGGCAGGAGGTCGTGGTTCCACTTTTCCCACGCATAGGAACACCACTGCTGACGTAGCCAGTGTGAACGGCCTAAACACTTCTAGTTACATCAAACACAGCCTGCCCATTTCCTCCCATCAGTTGTTCCTACTGAGCCCTATTTATAACAGAGATTTGCTCGTTCTAATAATATTTACCAATTGATTATGTATTGTGTAGGATACGTAAAATGCCCAATGCCTCTACATGGGGTACATCCTTCTACTCAGGATGTTACTGTTGTTTGCGCAGTTGACAGTTTTATGACTGCATCTGTACTTTTTGCTTATCTGAAACAAGTACCAGTACAGGGCTGCTTGTCCTGTGTTCTTGACATGGTCTCGCGGACCATGCTTAATCTGCATTGTTATGCAAAAGAATTCCTGACTCTCGGGGCCCTGCCTGCATGCTTTGTTGTACCAGACTTGAAACAGGCCAGAAATCCACACTTTGAACAAGGCAGACATCACCATGTATTGCCATGGCAGGGTAGTGCAGGCTCCCCCACAGTTACCCCAGCAACTCTCCCATCTCAAATTTCGGCCATGAAGTGTTCCAACACCGTCCTGGAATACTCACAGAAATATTAAATTTGCTGCTGCTTTGAAGAGACAGTAACCAGCGACTCATTAATTTAACCTGGGTTTGACAAGCACTCTATTTTAACCAAAGCACTGAATTGTTTTATAGTAAAAGTAAAATGAGTTTATAAGAAGTTATAAGTTTAAATGCTACCAAGCACAAGGAATAAAGAAAATATGCTTCTAAGAGTAAAACTTAATTTCAGTAAATTACAGTCATCATCTAAGCAGGTTTCTTACTGTACTCAGATCCCAGGGACTACAACCCTCCCACCCACTTGATTGAAAGATCCAACGTTCTTTGATTTTAAGAGCTTTGGCCTTTTTCGTTTCTCAGGTGATGGGTAATTATGACGTTCTCTCCCCTTTCTTAGAGTCCAGCAACTATTGAAAAGTAAGCCCAGACAAAGCTTCTGTCTCCTATTGGGGATAAACACAGTGATATCGTCCCAAAATTAATTGACCCTGCTTCAAGAGGCAAGTGTGTGGTCTCCATCCAGCATGGAAATTAAGTAATCATCTTTCCTCACTTACTCTCTGGATGGCTTTGTTTGCCATCATGTTCTTTATCTGGGGTCAAACTTTGCCTATTTTACGTTAGAGACACATTTGCATTCAAGCAGGTGGAACCATATTTGTTTGTCTGGAACAAGTGTGGCTTAGGCGCTGCTTGCCATATACGTTTTAAGAACACATTTGCATCACATATCTCTTAAGTCCTTTATGCAGTGACCATATATTCATCATGCAACAATATTAATGTTCAGTGAGTTACGAGTTTTCCAGTGACACATTACATACAACAGAGTGTCAATTGGTCCTGAGGTGCTGTGACAATCACAGGGAAAGAAGTCAACAAACTAGGGCTGAGTCATCATTTATGCCTGTATGTGATGTGGAAGACAAAACATTTGGCCAATCATGGGTTAGGAAGTAGAGCTCTGTTGTGCAGCTTGTGGTCAGCCTTCTCTTGAACATGAAGTTGTGGTCAGTGGAGATTGCTGATGCTAGCTTGAAATGCTCCAGCTTTATCTGAGTAGCCAAACTACTATAGGTACAAGACTGTTACTCTTCAGAGGTGGCTGCTCTTCAAGAGGTGGGTCGTTGCATTCTGCTCCATTTTACATAAAGTAAGGCTCTCAGGATCTTGTCAAGCTGTCAACGTGGTCATTGGGCGGCATGTGGGTGCCCTGTCCTAACCTCAGATTCAAGGTCCTTCCTGTCTTGGTGATGGTTGTTAAATATTTTCCTTTCAATTAGGATCAGAGCCCCATTGAAGTAGTTGTACAAATGGGTCATAGTCCCTGTCCTCTAAGATGTAATGATTAAGTTGCACCATAGAGAGGAGCATCCATGTAACAGGATTAGAATGAGGCAATGGGATAGGCTCCCTCTTGTCATCCCAAAGAGTCATTTGTCCATTTCCCTGCAGTTTTGTTCCAGTTCCACCCTGGGCTTCTTTCATGTGCACTCTGTCTCCACTAATCTCATGCTCCCCATGTGTCCCTGTGTTGCTGATGACCAGGTGTCAGTAAGTAGCAAGCCTCTGGCACAATGCACTGCTATTAATAACATGCACTGCACCTTCTGTTTGAGCTCCCAAGGAGCTCTCTATGAATATTTTATGTTTAGAGGGGTGCATGCTGCTCTCTTCATCCTGAATGCAGCTGGGGAGAGAGGAACATCAACTCAGCTTTGCAAATCAGGCCTGTAACCTTCTTGAATCATTTAAATAATAATAAACTTAAAAAAATAAAATTTGAGCCCCAAGGCGTTAAGCCGTCAGTGTGTTGCTGTCTCCCATGGACATATTGATGGAGAGCCAGGATTTGACAGATCTTGTCCCTCTCTCTAGTCTACCATGGCAGCCAGTGCTGGCTTCCCCCCATACTGTATTTGCTAGCATTTCCCCGTCTAGTTTGCCATCGGCTTTTCCATAGGTCCTTGTCAGTCAGTATCCTCCCTTACTGCATACGCATCTGCATCTGCATACATGCACATACACACAAGGTATCTGGCTGTGTTGACTCCATTTAATGAATGGATCATTCTTACAGACATCTGGTGTGATCTTGTATGAACTTTCTTCTTTTTTCCCTTATCGCTTCCCCCCCACCCTCCATCCACCGCCTTGTTGCTGGATCTGCAGCGTGACTGGAAACAGGCTGAATTAATCAGCAGATTGGTGCTTCACTCTGCTGCTCCTGTCTCTTTTCTCTGCAGTGTTGGGCTGTGTGCGTGTTCTCTCCCTCTCTCTTGCTCTCTTTCTCTGAGGGCAGCGGTACTGGAAGTTGCTGCTAAAGGGTCCAAGTGGTGCAGGGATTCAGCCCAGATGCTCTTTAAACAGGCAGATCTGTGGATGCCCCACCAAGGCAAATGCAGCAAAGTAAGTTTCTTTCCCTTAACATTGAAATTCAAAATGGCTTGTTTTTTTCCCCTGCAGTCTTCCTGATCAGATGGTGCATGAAGTATCCTGAGGGCTTGGGGTAGAGCTTAGGACAGGAAATTAGTACTGAATTGGGGGCTCCAGATTGGATGGGGTTTAAGGCAGGGAAGAAGTTTTTAATTAAACTGAAAATGTTAACCTTAAATCCATTGAAAGAACCTCAGTCTGAGCCTCAATGAGTGCTGCTTTACTGCCCCTGTGTTCAGTGACTCAAGTTTATCTGTATCTTTTAAACAGCTACAAAAGCCCCTTACCCTGAAAAGTGGGACTTGCAGTAGACCTGCTAGGTTTCAATCCATAAAGTCCTTAGCTAATGAATAGGGGATAGGGAGGAAACCGAGTACTGAGAGATGCTGAAGTTTGGAGAATTTCTTAGCATCCCCTACTCCAGGGAGGTGGATTAACAATTCTTGGACCTTATTCAGCTGTGATGAATAGGGGTGCAATTCCCTCTGAGGCCAAAATGAATTTGGACCCCTGCATTCTTTCTGGAGTAAGGGAAATACTGTAAATATATAAATGCTAATAGTAATAATAATAAATGCTTAACAGTTACATAGCACAATACAACTTCAAAGCACAACACAAACATTCACTAATATTCTGAGCACTGTTGTGAGCTATGTAGGTAACTAGGTTTGGGGATATGCTGCTGCAAATGGGACCAGAGGGACAGAGTGGAGAAGGTGCTGATGAAAAGTGGACTGTTACCTGGGGAGTTGTTTCTTACCTCTTTGTTGTTAAATAGCCTCGAGAGAGAGAGAGAAGCATGTGACAGAGTAAGTGAGAAAGTGCTGGGCTTCGCATTATTGGCGCAAACGGTTTATCATGGCTATTGGCATCTAAGTCCCTGCTATAAAGCAAACATTTCTTTGAATATCATTATCTGGATTAAATTAGAATTTGTTGATACCAAGATGTAGTCTTGATTTACAGCTCCTGTTAGTTCTGCTCTGACCAGATTCACAGAGACACTAATGCTGCTGAATTGGTCCACATTATCAGTCTGTGGGTCCTGTTAGTGCTGAGTAGAAGGGAACCTTAAAGCCAGCTTCCAGAGAAATCTGAATTTATTTTCTTTTATGCTTTCCTAAGTCATTCATCATTAGCATCTGGGTGTCTCATAAATGGATGTATTAATCTTCACAACAACCTTGTGTGATAGGAAAGGGTTATTATCCTCATTGTAGAGATGGATAACTGAGTAAGTCTGTTTCAGAACTAAGAGCAGAGCCCAGCTCTCCTGACTCCCAGTCTAGTGCCTTAACAACAATCACACACACTCCACATTGAATAAACTGGGTTGGTTTGTTTGTGTGTGTTGGGGTTTTACAGTGTAGGTCACTGAATAGGCATCATGTTGCCAGGAACCAGGAATCAGACCTCATTTCAGCAGCATCTGTGTGTTCATTAGGAATGATTATGAAGATACTAGGGATGTAGATAGTGAGGTGAACCTTGTTCTCAGGCTGATCTGCCTGTTGGCCTTGCCCACCATATACCTATAATCTCATAGTGGGCTTGCCATTGCATACAGTCAGTTCAGTAACACAGCAGCTGCAGTCAGACAGGATGATCTAGTATGCTGTTGAAGGTTTGAACTGGAACAAAAAATAGTCCTCTGCTATCACTATATTTTAAGTTGCCTCCAAGAAATTGTGCAGTATTGTGTATGTGATACCTACTTCCATGATGGGCACAAAACTAATAGACCATGTTGTGTCTTCCCTAACCAAGAACGTGACTCACTTTACAAAACACATTTGCATTTAATATTGCAACTGCTTCTCACATGCTTTTGAAGTAGAGACTAATCCTTGTGTATCAGAAGGGCCTGATCCATGAAATAGATTAATAGCCTGCAAAATGTCAGTGTTAAATTAAAAACAGCCTTCCTGTTTGTTAGAAGAATGAAAATTAGCCTTCAAAAAGAGAAAATAGTCTGCTTCTCCATTTTCCCTCCCCCCAGCCTTTTAATTTGAAAAGTGTTTGAACCAAAGATTTGCAAAAATGGAATGTTCTGTGTACATCCAGAGTATTAGAATGAGCTGTCCAATGTTTCACTGTCTTACCCCTGGAATTGCAGCCCGTGGAGACTATTTTTTTTAATAAGTCTTCTATTCCTCTTTCTCGCTCTTTTAAAATGTGTTGGTACTTACACAGACATCTGTAGTTAAGTACCTGATCCTGCAAGGAACTGTGCGCCATCAGCTTCCCATGAAAGAAAGAAGACATCTCGCACCTTGCAGGATTGGGTTGTTGGTGGACATGTGCAGAAGGAAATGGGAAGGTGAATATAATACATACATACAGGTTAGACTTTCCTGGTCCCACACACTCAGGACCTGACTGGTCCTGAATGAGTCAATTTGCCAGACCAGGGGAGGTTCCCGGCCACCAGCCTTCCAGTCTGAAGCCTCTTCTTGCTAGTGGCTCTGCTGCCCCCGATCTCTGGCCCCACTGCTCCCAGGTCCAGGCTCCAGTTGTTGCCAGCCCAGCCAGGGCTCCCTAGGGCAAGGGCTGCCACCAAGCTAGG